GTTTTGCAGAAGCTATCAGGGTTCATTAAATTTAGATTCACAAGTAGTAAAAAGAACAGTGCTAAACAGTAACGGATTACCTCTCCTGCAAACTGAACAATGATGCGATTCCCTTAATATCTCATCATCTGAAGGGTGATACCTTGCATCATCTGCATCCCGGGGATCACAGAAACTCCTGCAATATGATCATAGCTAAGTGCCTATTCTTAATTAAAACATTAAAGGAGCATATCTTGGAAACAAAAAAGAAGTGAGAAGTTCTACTTACAACAAAGGCCATAGTCCCCTGTCAGATGATACATCCATGCAATCTGGGGGTATCGTAGACCCAGAAACAGTAAAGACTCGATTGATGAAAATGTATATCAGGCATCCGGCGGCACCCCGTTATCCAGTACAGAAAGAACCTCCTCGCCGCCTAACTTACCCAGCCACCCATGCCTCCGATCACTTGAACTTCTTCTAACACAGGCCAGAGGCCCCAACAATAGCACGCAGGCTGGAAAAACGGTCAACTACACAAAACCATCATCTAGCGCTATGAGTGAAAACATGTTTTCTATGCAGAAAACCATCTAAATAGATTTGCTATAAAAATACGCTTCTTGATTACATATCATAAGTATTATTATTTCTATACATTTGGTTAAACTTAAAAATTTGAACATTGAAAAACAAGAATTATAATCTTTTGGACAGAGCGTGTAACTTCTATTCTAAGTGTCATAATCATGCATCCTCCGTTATGATCAATTTCATGACCTTGATTAATAGTACCTTCTCGACCATCCGATGGGAATTTTCTTTCCACCTTAATCCTTCTCTTTATCTTCCTGATAGAGTTCATCAGTTAGAATGGCACTGCTACAAGGGTCAGCACCATTGTTTTTGCTCAGATCACCCAACGCTGGCACAGGTTGAAGCGATTTCTCCTCAATGCATAGTGATCGATCGCACGGCAGAGAGGTGCCGGGGTCGGTGAGGAGGCGGATGGCCACCATGGGCGCGATGACGGCGAAGAGGAAGACAGCCGAGGAGCGCACGGCGAGACTTCGGCCTTTGCGCTTCTCCGATGGAGCGCTGCGGCGACGCTTTCCTCCGCCATGCGACAGCTCCGCGCCAGGCATCAGAGAGAGTATCTTCGCCGTTCCTCCTCTGCTGTCGTCAATCGCAGGCGCCGTGTCCATGATTTTGATCTCCTGGTTGCGTTGCCCTCACCCCCGTCGGCGGGCGCGGTGGCCAGTGACGGCAGCAAGTATGGTCGACGCATACGCGCGAAACTAGGGGAAGGGAAGCGGTGGCGCTCTTCATGCGCATTAGGAAACGCACTGTGCGATCTGCGCCTCGCGCGAACCACGGCTCCGTGGCTGACTTCCCGCGGTGATCGCGTACTTAACGCCCCGACCCGTGACGACGGTTAAGGTCTAACTCTACATGTTGAATGCTGCTAATTAATTCTTACGCTTTTTCAAATCGCTTCACGTAAAAAGATTAATCCGAGTTAACAGCCTCCCACTCTTACACGCTTTCATCAATCGCTTCAACCGTGCTTTAAATTGGTCTAGCTCTGTTCCAGTTCCGGCACGAGACTCAGACCGGGAACACTGCGCGAGCTACGGTACACCGGCGCTACAGTACCACGAATTTGGTCTGGCCGCCCATGGTCTGGGGTTTCACCATGGCGGCACCAACGTCCAGCAGTCCTTTACATCGGTGCTCTCGCTCCGTCGCTCGCTATCCAGATGGGCTGAGCCGCCGCGCAAGCCGCAAAAATAACGCGGCACAATACGAAGCGGCGCGTGTGGACGGGGACGAAGCCACCTGCAGCAGCTCCGTTTGCAACCGTAGCTTCTCAGGTGCGTATGGCGAGCGGTTATGCCTGGTACGCGTGTAGGGGCGTAGGCCGGCACCTGGGTACGCGCGGGTGGGTAGAACTTTTCGGTGAGAAAGAAACGCGGAGGAAAGCACGCCTGGAGAGTGTAAATGTAAGAAGTTTCCGTCCGTTTCAAGCAGGGGACGCACTAGTCAGATCAGGGTGGAAGAGTTGGGGTGCGTTGGATCTAAGGTGGAAAGTAGATATAATAATCATATATGGGGTCAAGAATTAAGGTGGGCAGAAAATATTTAGGTGAGAGGCTAAATTTAATTTCTTCGCTCCTTTAGTATATATATATATAATAGATAGATAGATATAGATAATCCTATTTCAAAGGCTGACTTTTGTTTCAGCCTTTCATTATTAGGACGTAAAAACCAAAAAACAGAAAAGAGCCTTAGTATAAAACTCTAGCTACCATTGTCATATGTCTAGTCTTGTGATCCCGATCATTCTACTGTACAAACGAGAAGAAGCCTCTCTCTCTCACGTATCTCTAACCTTACGGATTTTTTTATGTCAGGATCTGAGTCCTGAGCCCAACAAAAAATATCTCACAGGACACGTCATCTCGTCGCATCCCAACGGCCTCGATTACAGACATGGCTTCCCTGGCTTGGCTTTGAAGTGAA